GTCACAACAAGCGAAGTGAGTTTCTGGAAAGGGGAGGAGCAGCCGCTAGAGGTCGGGGACCTTCCGTCTCCCCACTGGACAGACCAAAGGCGGCCCAGGTGAGCGCCGCCGCCGGCGCCGAAGGAGGATCCCCCAGAAGACGGCCGGCTGTAAGGGGCCGACCTCGCCCACCGGGCGGCCGCGGCGGCGGAGAGGAAGGGAAGGCTGCGGGTGGAAGGAGGGGAAAGAAAGCCAGCGGGGCCGGCGAGCTAACCCGTGAGCATGTCGGTGATCCCCCCGTTGAGCGTCTCCTGCGGCGCCTTCCGTTTGCTCATGGTGGCCTGCACCTGAGAGCCCCAGCGTGGACAGAGCCAGGGACCGGCCCCCGCTCCTGCTGTAAGGAGGGACGGAGTCCTGGAGAGGCGCAAAGAGCACTTCAGCCCCAGCGCAGCCAGCGCGACCGGCTGAACAATGGCTCCCTGACAGGAGCGCGGCGCCGGCGCCGGCGCGTCCGCTGACGTCACGCGCCGAGTGGGGGCGGAGCCAGAGGGTACCCGCTCGGCCCGTGAGAAAAGGGCGTGGGGGGCCGCGCGGGGGGCATCGCCGGCCGCGGACACTCAGCCGGGCCTGGACTGGGGGGCTCGGGAGAACCGCTGTTTCCCAATTCCGCCCCTAGGGGTTCTTACGGGAATACCTGGGCTGTTAACCTCAGGTTGTGTTCGTTTTCCCGGTGTTTCTCTGCAGTCTTCTCTCTAGAAAAGGGAAAACAGGACTCCCATTTTGATTCTGAAATATACCAGGGGATTTCTAAATGATAATGGAAAATATCAGTTTCTTTTGGTGCAAAAACATTTATGAAATCCATGCGGGTTTTTTTTGTTTTCATAACACAGTTTCCATGAGTTTTCTGAAGACCCTGCATAAAATGGTTGTGTTGGAGTGGTGCATAGAGATGAGGAATGCATGACTGTTTTGTATGTCACAGAGGCACGCTAGTGTCATCTTCACTGTCACGCTTTCTGTAAGGTCAGAATTACTGTCTGCACTGCAGCGGAGCTCCATACTAAGGTGCTGCAGGAGCCTGGAATGTAGCATGCGGATACTTCCTGCTATCCGCATCTTCCCGCACACAGAATTTTTGTATCTGCCAACCGATGTCCAAACCTATTTTGTTTCTTTCCCCTGCCTTTAGTGGTAGAGGCCGAAGTGATGGAAAGACCACAAAAAGGAGGACGTGTTTGACCTAGATAATGAACAATTACACCATGATTTAGAGCTGAGATACTTACAGTCTGTTTAAGAAACAGAAATGTTACAGCAGAATTTTATAAGCGGAGCCCCTGAGTTCATACTGCAATTCCAGGCAATTGCTTTGTGGGTAAATACAATGAAAATCTTACTACAAAATGATATATAGTTGCTGTAGAAAAGTCTGGAAAATGTCTTCTAATACAGTCCTTTTTAAAGTCCCATTATTTTTTTTAACAATGGAATAATGCTTTAGATATAGTTTAATTAGCAAGATTGTGGTTTTTACCATGTCATGCACGTTTTTTTGTTTTGTTTTGTTTTGTTTTGTTTTGCCAGAGAGCATATGTGCTCACCTGAGACAGAGGAAGCTAGAAAGCATCCCCTGTTAGTTCATTGCCATCCCTTTGCCCCCATCTCTCCTCCTTTCAAGATTTTGGGCACACATGCACGCTGCCAAGAATGTTTCTCAAGCTGCTGGGTCCAAGGACTTGAACCACATGCTCAGCCATGCGGGATCTGGATGCCCTAACCACGAGGCCATGGGCTGGCCCCAGTGTATCATCTTCAGTGATGCTTTTTGACTATTTTTCATCTTTTGTAAATTTGTGATTAATATCCTTTGCTCATTATTCTACTGGATTGTCGGAAAAGTCATGTTTGCATAGAAAAACACAGAAAAATGTGTCATGACTTTTCCAACAACCCAATAATTGTAGTTCATTAATTTCTCAGATATTTTATACGTTACTGTTTACATGTGTTCCATGTTTTTAAATAAAGACTGAATATTTGTATTTTCTCAATTTACTCCTTCATCTAGGAACTTTATTCCTACACCTTAACATTTTGGTTCTCACCTTCATGTTGATACACTGATATATTTGATACATTTTGATATTTGACTCCTCCAGTCTCTCTGTTCACATTTTTCCTATCTACTCTCTTCTAGGCTGCTGCTTATTATTTTGTTCTGAAGAGTGAGAATTCCTCATTAAATGAAAACGTTTTTGTTCCCCTCTGAAATCTGAAAGTTTCAATGATTGTGGAATCATTTTTATGAGTATTAGGACAATCGTTTAAAAATCAGGGCCAGCAAATACAAGATAAATGATCTTTCTCTGTCCTTATCTTCTAAGACAAACCTGATCTGCTTATCCACTCTCTTCTGGAAATAATTTGCTTTCCACTGGCTGGGAAGGGAACACGTACGTTTTTCTTCTTCCTTGCTAGGCTACTCCTCAGGGGCTGTGCACGCCTGTGTGTGTGCGCGTGTGTGCGCATGTCCCCCCACCCCTACCCTTGTGGGAAATTGCCTCAGGTCCTGATCCTCTAACCAGCTTTTCCACCTAGTTCAGTTTTATCGTTTTTAAATGCCAACCTAGCTTGAAGAAACCAAACTTGTATTTCTAGTCCTGACCTTGTTGGGCTCCAGCCTCCCTCAAATGGCCTCCTGGGTACTCTCGCTGTCCACCCACAGAGTCTGGATTCTGACCCAGGTAGCTTCTCTTTAAGCTTTCCATCTCAATTAATGGCATCTTTACCCACCTGTCATCAGACCAAAACCCTAGAAATTCTTTTTTTTTTTTTTTTAAATTTCTTCCAAGAAAGACAGAAAGACAGTCACCCCAACAGGGTCCCCATGCTGGAATCCACTCCATCTCATCTGGCCAGGATCCCATGCACACACATACACATGAGTGCACAGGGTGTGTAAAGGGCCTGGGACATGATCTCGGGACCTTCCTGTATGGGTACTGTTGCATCACCACTGTGCCACCCCCTGGCCCTCCCAGGAATCAGTCGTTTTTTTTTTATAGAAATTTCTGCCATAAGGTGCATGTGCTCCATGGAGAGACAGAGACAGCGAGAAATCACTCCCTGGGGGGATGGCCACACCGCAATCCCTTCTCCATTCTCTTGGGATTTTGGGCATGCACACACATGTGCCTGGTATGAGTTTCAAGGATTTGAGCCAACAGACCATGCGGGAGTCCAGTGCCGTAACCATGACACCATCTGCTGGGCTCCCAGGAGTCATTCTTTTTTTTTTTTTCTTAAAAAAAAAAAAAAAAAAGGTTTTCGCCCTAGGGTGTATGCACTCCCTCTGCTGGCTGAGGTCTGTCCTGCTCCAATTCACGGAGATCTGACTATTGCCATAGCCTCTGCAGTGGACTTCCGCTCCTCCCCCTTGTGGGCAGTGCTCTCAACAGGACAACAGGGTCTTTTTATGATACCATCCAAACATACCACTCATCACTTAAACACCTTGTTGCACTTGCGCAGTCTAATTCCTTCCCACGGCCACAGGCACAACGCGACCGACCTCCCGCCTGCTCCGTTTCACTGCGTGAAACCTGGCTCTTTGGTTAGGACACACACGTCATTATTTAGCACACACATACCTCCACAGCGGTTCTCTCACTGAGGGCTCTGCCCGCTCCTCCTTCTGTCTCACCATTCCGTCTCCCAGGCACATTCTGGAACAGCACCCGGGAGCTCTATGCAGCCTGTGTTGTATTTTCTTCATAGCACTTAAAAACCAGGCCAGCAGGTGGCATGGAAGTTGAGATGCTGGAGCCCACATGGCCCACTGTGTGGTTTGAGGCCTGGATCCGGCAGCCTGAGAATCATGCCAGACGTGTGTGTGTGCACCCAACACTTTGAGAGAACACTGGAAAAGAGACTGCGGAGAGGCCATCCCCGCTGGGGGAGTGATGTCTCACTTTTCCTCTCTCTCTCTGTTTCTGGCGAGAACATGTGCCCTACAGCAAAAACTAAAAACAAAACCAAAAACAAGCAATTTGGAATTTTACACGTTTTTTGTCTATTACCTATTCTCTGCTTGCCCTTCCTGCCAAGGGGAACAATCAGCTCCGTGAAAGGAGGGACTTAATTTTTTAATTTTTAATTGCCAGAGTGTATGTGAACCCACCAAAGAGAGGCAGAGAGAATACTTTAAAAATATGAACTGTCAGGCGTGGTAGTTAAGGTGCTAGACTCCAACATGGCCAACCACGGTTCAAGTTCCAAACCTCGCGGGTTGCTGTCTCACTTTCCCTGTCTGTCTGTCTCTCTCTGGTGAGCACACTGTGTCCTATAGCAAATTTTTAAAAAAATAATAAATAAAATAATTCTAAAAACAATAAACTGTCAATCTCCCTTCCATCGAATTGAAGCAGATAATTTTGTTTCAATTTCTTAAAAGAAAAATGTTCTGAAACTAAAAGAACTGAAAGCCCAAGTCTCTTGTTTCAGGATCCCAAAAGCCTAAATCCTTCAAAGGGATAATGTTAGGAACTTGAGACAAGGTGTAATTGAGAGAGCTTCTCTGGGGTGAAAAAAACAACCTAAGGAACGGAGTGGAGGTAGGAGAGTCAGCCGCTCGGTTCGTCTATCGAACACCTATGGGTGCAGGCCCTACTCTGGGTGCTGTGCGCAGACTGAACAGACCAGGTCGTATGGGGTGGAGATTCGCCAGCGTCAGGAGGTGAGACGTGGAGCCGAGGTCACGGTGTCACAGGGCAGCCCCGGGAGGAGGGCGGGAGCTGGACGGCAGGAAGGCCTGTCTGACCCGGCTGCCCGTGAGCAAGGACATGCATGAAGAGGAAGAGAGCCATGAGCGCACCGAGGGGAGATGCCCGGGGAGAAGGAACAGCACGGGCAGACGCCAAGGCTGAAACTGGACATTCTACACAACTGGGACGGGCTGCATCACCCTAGAGCGCCCTTACACTAACCCTGCACACATCCACCCGTCCCTCTGACATTCATAACCCTCGGGAACCACCAGCTCTCCTGCATTCTCTCTCTAATACAGTCATTTTGAGAACATTTTATAAACAAAATTATATGTGATTTAAAATTTTTTTTTGCCAGAGGGCACGAGTTCACTAGAGACCCAGAGGGGGAGAGAGAGAGAAAGAAGGCGAGAAAGCTCCACCATGGGGCATGGTCATGCTGCAATTCCCTTCTCCCCCACCTCTTCCTCCTTTCAGGGTTTTGGGTGCCCATGAACACACATCTGGTGTGATCCTTAAGTCACCGCAAGGTTGGCCATGTGGGATCTAGCAGGCCACAGGCTGGCCCTATGTGATTTTATAAACTGATTTTCTTTTTTCATTCAGCATAAATATCATTGAGCTCCATTCAAGTTGTTGTATTAATAATATGCCCCTTTATTACAGAGTAATACTCTATCTAGGATTGGAGATCACTTTTTCAGGGGATTTAAAATTACAAATTCAATACCCTTAATAGTTATAGGGCTATTCAAATTGTTTCAGATTTGATGAGTTATGGTAACTTCTGCTTTTCAAAGAATTGGTCCGTTTCACCCAAGCTGTATTTGTGTGTGTAGACGTGTTCCCAGTGCTTCCTTATTATCCTTCTGATGTCTGCAGCATCATTCCTGAACGTGATATATTTCTGCCTTCCTGCCCTCCTTCCTTACTAGAGATTTTTTTCATTTTATTGATTGTATCCAAAAATTAGCTCATTATTTTATTGCCTATTGTCTTTTTCAATGTCACTGATTTTTGATTTCTTTCTTTCTTTGGCCAGATGGCACTTGCACTCCCTAGAGACAGACAGAGAGATAAAGAGGAAGAGAGAAGGACAAAGCAGTCCCCCAGTTGGGCATGGTCATGCCACATTCTCCATTTCTTCATCCTGTCAGGATTTGAGGCCATATATGCACAAGTGCCTGGCATGTTTTTAAAGCTGCCGGGTCCAGGGTTTCAACCACATGATTTGCCATGTGGAGTCCAGTTTCTTTAACCCCTCATTTGGCTTTTCTAGCACCCAATCTAGGATATACGAGATACAGAGAAAACCCGGGGCTTGTTATAGGTAGTGAAGTAGATGTGAGCAGGAGTTCCAGGACACCCATGAAAAGGCATCTGACACATCACCCATGGTTGTCAGGGGCTGCAGCCAGACGGGAGAAAGGATTATCTAACTTTATTGCTTAAACTGTCACTAGAGAATGTAACGTTTTTCCCCTCCTGCAGCAACACATGTACACACGGGCACTCTCCCAGCTGCTTGACCAGTATTTCACCTTCCACTGGTGGCGACACAATGATATGGGCAAAACTGCCCCTAGGCCCATGCTCACACCTTCAAAGTCCACACTTGAGAATCTGTATGACTTCCCCCTTCTGGGCACTTCAGTTCCCCTTACAAGGGAGAAGTGTGCAGGGGCAAGGAAAGTCCACAAAAGCAAACAACAGAGCTGGTTCCAGTGGCAAGCCTCCCCTGCTAAATATGTATAAACAAGGCCCTCGCAATAAAATAACACCTAGCCTGTTGGGAGTACAGTTGTCGCCTGGCAACCGGCCTGCCTGGTACACCTCCCAGGTGTACCATCCTATTAAATTCCTCTCTTTCATACTTTTCTTGTGGCTGTGGCTATACTTGCATGTTGGGATGGGGTCTCTAACCTTAGAGATGTGGGCCCAAGAACTGGGCATCCATCATAACACTCCCAGCTCCCTGCCCGGTAACAGGACCTCACTACAGCGTCAGTCCTCAGGTCCAAGGTCCTGCATGGCTTGCCTTAATACGTTTACAGTCTTTTTCTAATGGGTCATCGGAAAAGTCGTGATACATTTTTGCATAGAAAAATATAGAAGAAAATACATCAAGACTTTTCCGACAACCCAATATTTGTTTATATATGACACCCAAGGACTTTCACTGTACTTCCTGAGACAAGCGCATCTGCTCCTTCACCTGTCTGGAAGTAGAAGGCCCAATCCAGGGTTTCTACTTTTTCAATCAATTCGAATTTCCCAGCCATTAACGTTCTAAACCACCACTTTAGTTGTGTTGTTTCCTTGTTCAAAATTCTTCAGTAACTCCAACTGCCTGGAAGTCCAGGTCCAAGGCTCAGCTTCCATCCTCTCCCCAGTCTGACCCCATCCTCTCTCTTCTGGTCTTATTTAGGTCTCCAAAACCACACCTTGCCAAACTATTTCCTTGGGATGCTATGAAGTGTGATACACAGGGCAGGGGTCAAACGACATTAGTAAACAGTGCATTTATAGGAAACACTTTCAGATCCTTTACCAGTGCACAGTGTGAATCTCTGAGAAACCATCGAAGGTGAAAACAGTTCCTAGACTTACTTGACTGTGGAGTGGTTCATCCTATCTCCGTGGAAGTCTTTGAAACGCCTCTACTTCAGCTTTCATCTCCAAATTCCCCTGTTTGTGATCATCTGAATGCATTTTGCTCTCTTGGTTTTAGATAAAAGAAGTTTTGTGAAATGCTGAGGAAGCAGTCCCATTGCATTGTTTAGGTTCCAAGCACTATTCAATTTTATAGACTTCTCCATAGTGAGGGACCAACAGATGGCGTTATGGTCATGTCATTGGACTCCCACGTAGTTGACGGTGGTTTGAGTCCCAGACCCAGTGGCTTAAAACTCACACCAGGAGCATGTGCATGTGTGCCCAAAATTCCGCGAGGAGAATGGAAAGGACTGTGGCATGGCCATCCCACTCAGGGGTGACTTCTCACTTTCTGTCTCTCCAGCAAGTGCACACGCCCTATAGCAGAAATCTCTCTCTAAAAAAAAAAAAAAAATCTCCATATTGAAAACTTTTTCATACTATAAAAATGGATTCTGGAACCCAGTGTAAGTATTTGAGTCATTTTACAGGAAATAGAAATTATTTTAAAATAAATGGATTTAATAATACTGCCAGATGATGTGAAAGGCCACCACCACACGCCGAGTTTGAGCAGGGACGGAGGTGCGGGCACAGACAGCAGCCTGGGGGACAGACAGACTTTTCTCCTCTCCGTCTTCTAGGTGACAGCTGACTCCCAGGTATTCTCTGGGATCCAGAGAAGCCAGCTGCTCTCCCATCCTGGCTTTAGCGAGTCACTCTGTGGCCGAGAGTGAGGTGGGCTGGGGGAGCCTCAGCTTTCACTAGACCTTGTGGAAAGCTCACCAACCAAGGTAGTAGGGGAATAACATTGTAGCAGCAGTAGGACGAAAAGAGAAAGAGGATGGGGCCAGGCCACACTTATGATGGAAACGCCTGCTTCAGAGAAGTTGGATGCTCCAGCTGAAACGCTAGCTGAAAGGGGACACAGAACAGGCTGCTCCAGGCCTGAGGTCAGGCAGGGTCAGGAGAGGACAGGCTGGCACTCTGCAAGCCGGCCAGGCTTTGTCCTGAAGGACCCAGTCAGGTGCTGTCAGGTGCCCTGCGCTGCACGTCGTACTTGAAGAGCTTTCTTCGCAGCAGAGGAAGCAGTTGTCACTTCGTCCCTGAACACCGTGACCTGCGCCAGGGTTTACTGGGCCTCTGTAATGAAGAACTTCCAGTGTATACACAGGCACTGGCGCTGCCCACAGAGGGCCACACCCTCAGTCCTGGGTGCACATCACAGCTGCTGGGGAAGTGCGATCTCCGCGTGGGTGTCGGAGACGGGCAGGAGCCACCGTGGGTAAGCCGCAGGCCGGACGCCCCAGCTCAGACGGCCAGGCCCGGGGTCAGGAGGCCCGCTCCAGGCTGTTCTGCTCCTCCTCCTCCGTCTGCTGAAGCCAGCTCCAGTCCAGAGTCTGGAATCAACAGGCATGTTAAAAACACAGCAGCCGCCAAACACCGCGGCCTGTTTTTTCCTTTTCGGGAGGCAACCAGGGCCGTTGGAAGTCAATTTCGACCCTTTTATTAGTAACGTCCTGTTACTGCATGGTGCCCTTGAGCTAAACTGCATTTGCAAAACCACACAGGCTCTTTTCTTTGGTCTGCCTGGAGTCCTGCCATTCTGTGACTGCGGAGACAGAGCTCACAGCACTTATTTACGAGTCACCGTAGACAGGAGGGACCCGGGACAAATCTAAGCCAGGCATATCCAGCCTCACCAGGTGGATGGCGTGCTGAGGCCCACCCAAACCCCAAACCCCGCAGAGGTGCGAGCGAGAAATGAGGTGACCAAAACGCCCGGTACGGGGTGAGCCCAGCTAGATACGGAAAGACATACACTGGGGGAGGGCACATGGTTCTTCGGAGAACTTAGAGCACTGTGTATATGTAAGGGGCGGGGTTAGCAGGTGAGGTATTAGCAGGAAAAGCCCAGTTCGAGGTCTAAGGAATCTAACGGATTTAGAATCCTTTCAGCGGTCTGAGCTTTGTCTTAATGGACCTGCATCTTGGCTGGCGTTTCTGCAGGTCGGCTTCCCTATAACTAGCACAACCTACTGCTAAGCTCTGAGTCCCTGGGGCACAGGGTCAGCACTGGAGCCCAGCACAGCACCCAACACATGCAGGGCTCAGCAGCGGTCCCAAGGTTCAGATAGGGAAAGGTCTGGAAATACCGCCTCCCTGGTCAGGATGAAGTGCTATGAGCATTAAATAAGATAATGCACGCAACCTACTTGTAAGCACTCCACAAATGCTATTATAAGCAACAAAAAATACATACAATAAAATCTTAAAATATATATGCAGTCTTCAAAAAGTTCATAGACTATGTACTATGAAAAACCTGTGTGTGCATTTTACATTTTTGGGCACCCAAATAAGCTCATACTTTAATCCTTCCCTCCTTTTATTGGTTTTTGACATAGTGCTCATGAGCTTGTTGGAGAAAGAGAGACAATGAGATGGAAAGTGAGAAATCACCCCCCAGGGGAGATGGCCACACGGCAATGCCTTCTCCTCTGTTCTCCTCTTGGGATTTTGGGCACGCACACCTACCAGCGTGATTTTTAAGCTGTCAGATCCAGGAACTGAACTACAGTTGGCCATAAGGGAGTCTAGCATCTTAACCACCAAGCCACCTGCTGGTCCCTTAATTTCCTTTGTAATGAACTTTTTTGAAGTCCCCTTGGACTAGGATTGAGGGGAATGTCGAATTGCCTTTCCTTTTCTTCTGTGCTGGGGAAAGACAGGCCAGGGCAGTGGGGCTCACGGAGGCATTACCATGAAGCTCTGGTCCTGTGCTCTCACGGTGTCCTGCATGGCGTTTTCCAGCTGCGTGCAGAGCGTGTGCGCTTCAGCCACCAGTTCTTCGCTAGAGAAAAGGACCAGATGATTGGAAGTGATCCGTATTATTTTATTTTTGCTAAGACTGCTTTTTAAAAATATACTAAGAGCTTTTGATATAGCTTTTGAATAGTTTACCAAAGAAGTACCAGTTATTTTGACCTTAAAACACCGCATCACTGACTGGTGACTGTCCACCTGGTGAAGCACTTGTCAGAAGCCCAGCGCCAGTCACTGCTCACAGTGGGAGGGGCAAACATACCTCTGCTTAATAGAAAAGACAGAGGTAAGGAGCACGGTCTGGCTGGGTAGGCAGCTGGACGGAATTCTCTCCAAGCTTCCAAAACCTAAAGTCATTCCCCCTAGTCGGCTATTCTCCAATTTTCTAAATGGAGGGGAAAAAACAGACCAACCCTCGGGTTTCTATAGTTCCTCAAGATCTACTGAAAAGCAAATTGTGCAAACTGAATTCATCTCATCCCATCTCGTTCTTTTCCCGCCCTTTTCTCTAACGCATGTGTCCTGTCAGGACCGGGCCACGGTGAAAAGAGCGTAAGATACACGTGTGTCCTTTTCCAGCCTCAGCTCTGTGACCTGAAGAGTTAGCAAACACCCTGTGCTCCCGGGAGGATGCCTCTGTGGCTTTGCAGATCTAGGAAGGCGTACAGCAAAGTCCAGAAGATGTACCCAGATCTCCTCCCACCCACGAAACACCACGTGCTGACGGAAGAAACCCGGAGCCCGTTTCCACTATGCCCCATCCACAGGGCTGCTGGCTCGGCGAAAAGCTCAGTGGCAGCTCAGGAGGCCGAGGAGAGGCACAAGGCTTGGTTGTTACCTTCTAGAGGCTTCCGTGGGGTTGGGGAGATGATCCAGGGCCATATATGATTAAATATTAAAACAGGCTACCAACTCCTCAAGGGCAAGAACGGAGTTTTGAAAACAGCCATGGAGGTACATACATATTGTCTACCTGCCGTGGAGGTTGCCCCTTTGATGTGCACAGCTGAGGCACAGGACACAGCGCAGAAGGCCGTGGTAGGTGTGTACAGAAGGTCAGGGTGCGAGAGACGTGGAAAGCAGGGGCAGGTAGGGGTCTGCAGGTGGGAGGGCATGATGGCACAGATTCTCAGAAAGCATTGTTGAGCAGGGCAGCGGCTCACACCTGCATGTGCATCGGGTCAGCCAGGGCATGTCGGGCACAGACGGGGGCACACCCTGGCTGCTCATTCAGAAGGCTGGCTTCGCGGGACCTGGAGCCCCGTTTCTCGCAAGTGCCCAGATGGTGCTGCTGCTGGTTTGGGTGAGTCCCGAAGAACCAGGCTGGCAGGCAGTTTGGAAGGGACAGTGGATCAACCAGGAGGCCCGTGCATAGCCCAAAAACATTCGGACATGATTCCCCATCGTGGAGTGGGAAGGTACTAGTCAGCGACCAAGGATCAGCTTGGCCAGAGTGATATTGTGTGAGGAGTAACTTGCTTTGCGATGGCTTGGCAGCACTACCAGCTGGGAGCAGGAGGCAGGAAGTCTGGGCGGGCCGGGGCTGGGATTCCTGCTCACCACCTCCATCGCCACGCTAACCAAGAGGAGGGAGGGGAAGAGGTGGACAGGAGACCACGAGAGCAGAAACAGTGACGTGGTGCTCGTACACCCCCCGTGGATCTAAATTCACGTGTTAGATTTGGGTTGTGACAGGACTGAGAGCATGGGTGGGGCCTTTGACAGATTAGGCTCTGAGTCATCAGTGCGGCCCGGGACAGATTCCCAGGGTTTGTAACGAGCAGGAGCAGGACAGACACAGGGACACAGCCACGTGTGCTCTTTTCTGTCCTGCCATGAGCCACGAGCAAAGACTGACCAGGTGTGGCCCTGGACCTCCAAGCCACGAGCTGAATAAACCTCTTTTTTTTTTGAGAGAGATTTTTGCTATAGGGCGCATGTGCTCACTGGAAAGACAGAGGGACAGAAAGTGAGAAATCACTCCTCCAGGGGGGGATGACCACCCCCTCTTGGGATCTTGGGCACGCATGCACAGGTGCCTGGTGTGAGTTTAAGCCACTGGGTCCGGGACTCAAACCAGAGTCAGCTACATGGGAGTCCAGCGACATAACCATTACACCATCTGCTGGTCCCTTTACCTTTCTTCTTACCAGACTCAAGTATTTTCTGTTATTGTCAATGGAACAGACTAGGACACTCGGTAACTCAAAATGATGGTGGGGAGAGGGAGGAGGCCAGAGGCCCCCATGTGAAGAGCGCACGCCCTGAAGGGGACCCGTTTGGGAGGATGGAACAGTCACCGCCCATCTGTGGCAACCTGTCTCATCTGCACTTCCCAGGGTCTCACGAAGCGGTCGGTGCTCCGGCCCTCGGGCAGGGACACGAGCTCGTCAGCAGGTTACAAGGCACTGCAGGGAGAATCACTGGTGTCCCCGTAGGGCCTGACACACAGAACCAAGATAGAGGGGAGGCCTCTGTGCCCCATGACCTCCTGAGGCCCTGGAGTGTTACACCTGGCCCCGCGACCATGACTCACCTTTTCTGGGCTGACTCTGCTGAACTGTCGGAGGCCGTGGGAGGCTGAGACATCAGCTGACCAGAGTGGCTGAGGCGGGATGCAGTCACGCTGTCAGGGCTTCCGCTGACCGGACCACGGACCTTGCTCTGAAGGACAAAACCAGGAAGTCGTGGGGTGAGTGATAAACTGGGGTTTGCATTCACACTACAGTGTGTCCACACGAGACTGTGGTCATGAGAGCCCGTGACCATTTCCAGACACCTCCTGACAACTCCGACACGTCGCACTTCAGCTTCGGAGGGGCTCCTGCGCTGTGCACTCTGGGGAGAGGACTCGGGTAGGGGAGTGCGAGTGGCTATGCTCGCAGGCCTTGGTTCCTGGGCCTGATTTCTCAGCAAGTCCTCACCAACAAAGAAGAGGAGGGTGCTTTTGGTCTTTTCCAAGACTGAAACACACGGGAAGGTGACAAGGCTCCGTGTAAATCATGCATCTGCGGAATAGTTAGAAGAATGCAGAGAAGGTGGCTCTGGCAGCTTCAGCCACTCCACCGCAGGGCGACGTTGGACCACGGCCGCTGGCCCAGCCACCTGCACCTGCTCATGGTTGTGGCTGTGGACATTCACGACAGTATCTCCCCAGCACCTCGATCCCCTCTTCTGCTGAGCCTCTGGCCACCCCTCAGCTGCCTGCCTTGTATATTTCTATTTCTTACTATTTCTGAGAGAGTGAGAGAGACAGACAGACAGACAGACAGACAGAGAAGCACTCCAGGCAGTCTCGTCCCACTACAATCCCCTGCCGTCCAGCACCTCAAGATCCTGGGTACTCACATGTGTGTCCAGTGCTCTTTCAAGTTTCCCTAGGGATCCGAACCCCTCTGACCTCACAGGGCCCTTGTGTTCCTGCTGCCCCAGTGCCCAGGCCCTCATCTGCCTTGTGGTGTCCTCTCCTCCCCCCATTGCACCTGTAGCCATCCAGATCCTGCCTGGTCCCTCCCTGGTGGGCCCCTCTTGGCTCCCTGTCCTCCCTCCAGCTGAACATCTTGGTCTGGTCGGCACTTCCCCAGACGTCTGGGTGCCCCACCTTGCCCAGCTCACCTTTCTGCTGTGCCGTCCCTGCCAATCAGTACCCATGGAGACCCAGCTACTCCTGCCCTGGGCTCGCGATGTGGCAGACAGCAGACAACTCCTGCACAGCCCGGCCCCATCAGGGTCAGTGCCCTCCCTTGGACCCTCCACACTCCTGCACAGCCCATCCCCATCAGGGTAGACGCCGCCCCCGACCCTCCACACCCCTGCGCAGCCTGGTCCCATCAGGGTCAGTGCCTGCCCCCAGACCCTCCACACTCCTGGACAGCCTGGCCCCATCAGGGTCAGCACTCACCCCCGGAACCTCCACACCCCTGCACAGCCCAGCCCCATCAGGGTTGGTGCCTGCCCCCGACCCTCCACCGCTCTGTCCAGTGCACACCTCAGGGCTGACAGCTGCCCAAGGCTCAGAGCCATGCTCCAGCTCCATGCACAGCTGTGGCCAAGTGAGTCCCCCAAACCCCACGCGACCCCGTCTTCCCCATCTTATTGGCTCCTCCAACGTGAACAGAAGAGACGACTCCTGTGGTGTTTCTCTGTGCTCTGAAATCAAGTGTGGCCTGTGTAAGCCAGGCCTGGCCTCCCTCTCCAGGGACCCTGCTTACCCCGAGATTACCCCACACTCCTGCCGGCCTCCTGCCTCTGATAAAGGCATACCTCTGTCCTGGGGTGTCCACACCTGCACCCACCCGTCTAGCTCCTACTGCTTCCTCAGCTGGAAGTGCCCGCCACCAGCCCTGCCAAGACTGCGGCCAGGCCTCCTCCACTCCCACCACAGCCAAGATCCACCACAGAGCTATGGCACTTCCAGCCCCAGGCTGCTCTCACCCACACCCTGGCTGTGCCCCTCACCAGGTCGTGCGTCCCAGGGACAGGTGCCACGTCCTCCCCTTGGATCACGAGGGTCCTCCTCACAGCCAGGCACTGGTGAGGGCTGACCAACAGCAGATGGGGGCTCAGGGCACGCGAGGCTCCTCGACCATCCACTCCGGGCTCCTCGCTACCTCGTCATCGCTCCTGCTTCATTCCCTCCTCTCAGGAAAGCCCTCACTCAGGCCACGACCCTAGCTGTCCTCTGCTCTCAGAACCACACGAGTCCTGTTCCCTCTCCCGGCAATGCGTGTCCTGGTGCGCTGTCTCCTTTGCCCGGCCGGCGGACACGCTGTGGTCTCCGGGATCTCACACGCCATCCTGGTATCCCACCTGTACCGCCAACACTGACCTCTGCCCCTTCCCTGTGCTCTCAGGGCCACGGAGGACCCATCGCTCTCTCCGACCTCAACCCGCTGCAGCCTGTCACATGGGGGTCCTTCCACTTCCTTGACGTGGCGCCTGCCTGGCTCTTCTCTGTCCTTGGTGCTCGTTCTTGTTTTATACCGTCTCCGAGTGGCATGGTGGGGACTGTGGCTACATGAGGTGGCGTGTGCGGACACACGGGTTACAATGCCGCGGGGACCCAGACGCAGAGGACCATCCGCCAGGCCGAGCTGACACGCGTGCCAGCGGGTGAAGGGCTGACCCTAAGACAGGCATGTCCACGCATGTGCTGGCTCCTCGGTGGTCTCACTTGGAAAAAGGGTCTTCACTGAAGGAAGGTGAGAACACCCTGGACTACCAGGCTGGGACCCAATCCAATCACAAGTGTCCTTACAGAGACACCCAGGAGGGAGGCACGAGGTGAAGACAGACCGGGCGATGTGGCCACAAGACAAGGAGCACCAGGAGTCACCAGGAGCAGGAACGACAAGGAAACAGCCACCTAGAGCCTCTGGAGGGATGCGGGCCCGCTGTGGCCTCCGGGGCTCGGACAGCCTATGCTTCTGTTCTTTTAAGCCCCTCAGTTTATGGTTGTTTTTCATTTTAACTGCCAAAGGGCAAGCGTGTTCATTAGTGAGGGAGAGGAAGAAGCATTCCGCAGGGGTGTGGTCATGCAGCAGTCTCTCCTCCTCTCCATCCTGCTAGGAGTTGGGGTATGTGCACACACACGCCTGGCCGGCTTTTTAAGCTACTGGGACCAGGATTTGAACCTGTGGTCAGCTGGGTGGGATCTGGCTCCCTTAACCATCAGGCCCTGTGGTCACTTACTATAGCAGCCACAGGGCACTGACACACGAATACATAAAAACCACCACAAAGCCGTTCCCGACTGCCCCTGCCTGACACTCTCCTCCCTGCTCACGTGGGAACACGGAGCAGCAGCTGTGGGGTCTCCCTGGTGGGCTGGCGCCAGGCCCAGGACGCCCCAGGACTCACTCACACAAGCGATCTTTAGGAGGTTCCAGAGCTCCTTCTGCCGCTTCTCCTGTAGCCGGACAACCGTCTTCTCGTCCTCGTTCATCAGACTCACCACCTCCTCTACCTTGGGCAACAGCTCCAGCGCCTTCTGCTTGCAAACCACAGTCTTACTGCGAAGAGTGAAAACGAAAGCCCTGATGGCCTTGGGGCCGGAGGAGGCAGAACGTCGCCCCGGCACACGAGGACGCCGTCAGCAGCTGAGAGAAAGTCTGCCGAGGAGGTGAGCAGAGCAGGGCAGGGTGGAGCAGAGCGAGGCACGGCCGCACGCAGCTGGGCAGCGTCTCCATGTTCCACCCCAGATCCGACTGCAGCCTGATACCTGAGCTGCGTGTAAATCACACGCACTTTCTTCTCAAAGCTCTGAATGGCCTGAAGCAGCAGCCGCACCATTTCCTGACTGTCACCATCGATTCGCTGGTCTGGAGAGGGGAAGGGAAGCACGTTGTTCTAGGAAGAGCGAAATCAGCACTTGGCTCCCGAGCTGCCGGGCCCACAGCAGGCGGAAGCCGCCACTCACCTCTGGGCTTCTCCCTCAGTCTCCTGTACAGCTCCCTGGCCTGCTCCTCCCTGAAACACACGAAGCACATTCGGTCTACACTCGGGCCCCTGAGCTCCCCAGATCTGCAGCTGTGGTCTGCTCATTCCTGTCAGCGGAATTACTGATTTCTAGAAACGAGGCAGCCTATATACGTCTTTCTTGATTGGAGACGACTTCTGGTGCCATAACAGGTGGTACCTTCAGTAAGTGAGTGATCGAGTCCCCTGTTATCAAAGCTCAAACACCTGCGAGGTTTAGTGAGAAGAAACGCTTAGGAAAGGACCCTCCACTCCGTCCTTCCGAATCCCTCCTCTGCTGGCTTCAGCAATCATGACCCCAGGTGCGGTCACTGGACCTGAGCTAGGGAACACGGGTCCCCTGGGAATTTGAGCCCAAAGGGGGACAGCAACTGCTGTCCCTTTTCCTCCCCAACAGAGGTGAGGTGGACTGACATTCTCAAAAAGACTTTCATCTGAAAACTACAGGAAAACAAAGGGTTAAGTAATTAGAACAGGGTCTAAACAGAGGCAGTGGTGCAACAGTACCACAACTGGACCCACATGGGAGGGTCACGGGTTCATGTCCCAGGCCCTCCCTGAACGTTGATGGGCCCACGTGCCATGGTCCAGGCTGGCTGAGTCTGCATGAGGAGCAGCTGTGAAGACAATAATTAGAGAACATACAGAACTAAAGCCAAGTTTCTGATGTTCAGATTTCCCTTCCTAAGAGTCCCACTAAAGCATCTGGAAAGGCTGAGCTCGGGAGAGTCGCCACCAACCACGCCAGCTCGCCTGGCTCCTGCCTGCACGCTGCGGCCACAGGTCACTTCCTCTGGCAAGGACCGGCCTGCCCGGACACCCCACCCTTCGTGGAGCCAGTGCCAGACCCTGCTAAGGATGCACATGGACAATGCCCAGGTCTGTACTCCTGAGACCTGCCGGGCCCTCCGTCTCTGAGCCAAGCCTGGCTTGGGGCGGGTTGGGTCACCTCGCACTCCACGCAGGGTGAGGGCTTGCACCTCACGGCCTTTGCAGTTCACAAACAACTTCCCGAGAGCTTTATCTAAACTGGCTCGCACCACCTTGTCATGTGACTTGATAAGTTCAGAAACCAAGGCTCCCAGCGAGGGCGCTGTGGCACGGCCATCTCCGGCACACGCTGAGCTGGCTCACCAGGAGCAGAGCCTACAGGAGAACAGTCTTATGGGGCTCCTGCAGACGGTCCTAACACGTGCACCTCGGAGCGGGGTGGGGTCGTGCGTGCCGGGGACAGAGCAGGGCCCTGGTCGGTACTCACAGGTCGTCCAGCGTCCCGCCCTGCTTCCGACCCATCGGGCTCCGCTGCAAGTCCACGATGTCTGTCTGCAGCGCCATCATCCGCTCCACCAGGTGCTTCACCTCGTTCTCCTGATGAAAGAGCTGTGCTGACGTCAACTGGTGTGAGGACAGCACCTGAGGTGCGAGGCCTGCCGGGCGGGCGGGGGACACCTGCGAACCCAGGGAAGGCCCTCGACTGACCAGCTCGGGGGACATGGACGTGGACTTGGGGGCTGGGCCTCCTGGGTGTGGATCTTGGGCTGACCTCTCTCTCTCGGGTTGTTGGAAAAGTCATGACGCAATTTTGCACAGAAATCCAAAATACTTGTGTGACCCTTGGGAAAGTGACCTACCCCGGAGCTATAGGCTTTCTCTTCTATAAAATAAGCTTTCATTTATTTATTTTATTTATTAAATTTTTTTGGAGAGGTTTTTGCTATAGGGCACGTGCACTCACCAGAAAGAGAGAGAGAGAGATGGAGAGAGACAGAAAGCGAGAAATCACCCCCCCAGAGGGGATGGCCACGCCACAATCCCTTCTCCTCCATTCTCCTCTCGGGATCTTGGGCACGCATGCACACGCGCCCAGCATGAGTTTTAAGCCACCAGGTCCGGGATTTGAACCATAGTTGACTACACGGGATCCAGTGACATAGCCATTACGTCAACTGCTGGTCCCCAAATAAGCTTTTAATGGGGCTGAATAGGAAAGGACGCACCTGGCATGAAGCAGATGCCCGTGCATCCCGTTTCCCTTCTCTTAGCGTGTCCCTCCTGAGACCCTCCCACCGGAGGGGGCCTGGGCTCCCTTGTTCCAGGTTATGTGTATGAGCGCCAAGATGGGGGAGCTCTTGCCCCGCTCTACAGGTAAATAAGGTGCTGTCCACATAACAGCCACCCTCGAGCACCCACAGGCCCCGCCAGCACCGATTCACAAGAACAACATCCAGGCACAGAGGGATGGCCCTTGCCAAGTGCGGGGGAATGGCAGAAGAGTGTGGAGCGAGCCTGGGGCCGGGGTTCTCAGCTGGGGTGAGGTCCATGGTGTCACGTTTACTCCCGTGCCTTTCTAACACCCACTTCTCAGTAGCATCTGATGACGCTGTCCTGAGATTCTCTGATGACGGTGTCCTGAGAGTCTCTGCCTAGGCCTTTCATTTCCCATGGATATAGTGTCTCCACCAGGCGCCACTCTGAGAGGATGGTGTGACCACTCTTGCAGGGCCCTTCCTAACAGGAAGAGATCTAGGCTTCTCCCCAGGAGCGTTCGACACGCTGCTCCCTGTTTAAAACTGGAGCTTCTCTGTCCAGCTGTGCAGTTCAAATCTGGCCATGGCTGGGCTCCCTTTACTGGCCACTCCGCTGGCCTCTTTCTGGCAAGTGTAAGATCAAAGGGCATGGCAAGGAAACCTTCATTTCTGCTATGGAAGACTGACCCGGGGTTTGATGAGATAGTGAAAAATGGCACACGTTGGAAAACTCCCCCCTCGGTCAGTACAGAATCCTAAGCCGAGTCTCCTACCCGCCCACAGAGCTCCACGGCCTGCTCCATCTCCCTCCAGGCCAGCAGCAGCTTATCTGAGGCTGCGGGGAAAAAAAGGAGGGAAGAAAGATCGTGAGAAACAGAACACTACAAATCCAAAACAAGCCATTCATTTACAAGGGGACAAAAGAAACTTTAGAAAGAGAAACCAAAAAAGAACTGGTCTCTATTAAACTTGTTGCAAGGCGTACACTCACTGATCCCAAACTCAGTCTGCTCACTGTACTTCTCCAGGTCGATCTGGATGCTGGTTTTAAAGAAATCCAACTTGGCCTTGAGCTGCTGAGACATGGAAGCCATGGAGTTCTTCATCTTGGAGAGGCAGCTATTATTCCGGAGGAGATTCATCCTGCAGGGACCACAGGAAATAGAACCTTGGAGCATCTCTGCATCCAAATACCACTTCCTGTACAATAACAAAATCCCCACAAACGCCGAGGGAGATCCTGCTGTAATTACTATTATTATAGTAGCCATTTATAACCTGAGCGGTTTCCCAGCCCTCAGCAGTGTGTGAGGTTCTGCACCGACATCAGGATCGGGCAGGGAACTGCTCGAAGGAGCAGCCCACAGCAGTCAGAACCAGCCAGAACCTGGGCATGAGTCGGGGCGTTCTCTGCCTAACAGCCAGGGGTTCTGCTGACCCACCTGGCAACAAGCTTCCAGGTTTCAAACGGCCCCGCCTGGCCAGCCCAAGCGCAGCCCTGCACTGCGGCTCTATGTGTGGGCGGCACGCACCCAGCAGGCCTCCAAGGCCTCCTTTGGACCAGCCCCTGCCCAGCCCCTGCCTGCCCGGCCAGACCAGTGTCTCCCTCTTGTCTCACATCACAGTTGTTTCTGGGTCCCTGCCTCAGCCACCTTCCAAGGGCCAAAGCCACCAAGCAATTTTAATCCCATTAAGTCAAAGACAGGCCTGGCACAGTACATGGCAGCCCGCTGTCCCTGCTGCAGCCGGTTACAGTCCTCCTTCAGGGTCTGGATGCTGTGCCAGACCTGGCCCCACACCTTCCTCAGCTGGAAGAAAGGCAGATTCCTCTTGGGCTCTTGAACTAGGAAGAGAGACACGGGCCACCGTCAGAGAACTCCCTACGATGAACCACGTCCTGCCTGGCAACGCCCCGGCACATACACACTTGTTCACATTATGTAACTTCTCCCCCATTACGCTTGCTGGGTGTTATGCCTGGTTCCTGGCTCGTGCGTTTTCTTGCACCCCACTGAAACATATGCACGGACAGCTACTGATTTAACTCGAAGAAACACTGAGCCACGTGTACACAGGCACAACCTGCGTGGTCGGAAAAGTCATGATGCATTTTTGCATAGAAAAACACAGGAAAAGTCATGACTTCCCTGACAATCCAGTAAGATTGTATGAAGTTCTCTGAAAGTGCGGCTTCGGGGAGCTGGATGGTGGTGTACCAGTAAAATGAGACACTCCACAGCGCTGACTCACAGGGGCAGGTTCCAAGTTGGTGTCTGGAGCCCTCCCTGAGTGTGCCCAGGACCTGAAGCTAGCTGAAGCTGGTGTAGACCATGGCACTAAGCCCCATCGGGTGTGCGGTCTCTGTCTCTCTCAATCATGGGAGAAATAAACTTAAAAAAAAAAGAAAGGAAGGCCGTCTCTATGTACCAATAAGGGAAAATTTCCCAGTAGATGTCAAGTGAGAGAGGCAGGGACAGAACGGTCCACGTGGTCTGGGGGTACCAATGTGGGGGAAACTGCCGGAAGGTGCCCCAGGGTGTGACAGCAGCAATTTTCCTGGGAGGAGAAGTTGCTGGCTGTGGGTTGGGAGAGAAGGAGGCTTATTTTTCACCGGATATTCATTCTCCGGGACTTTTACTTGTTTGGGGTCATATATACACATGAAATCTCACAATGTAGGTGGGGCTAGAAAAGTGGGCGGTGCTCCCTGCCCTGTCGAAGTTCTGTCTGGGAGGGGGAAAGCACTGCCGGCCTCTCCACAGCGAGTCCCCCAAGTCCCCCGAGTTCCCCGTAAGGAAGACCACCCTGAGGCCGCTGGCTCCCCTGCCCTGGGTCTGCCCTCCCACCCTGTCCCGTGTCATAAATGGTCACTTAAAAACGGCGTTCTTACGGACACAGCTGACACTCTCAGGCTGGGGCCGCGGGGAGATCTGCGTCTCATAGGTGATTTTACTGTTGTCGAAGAGAAAAACGAGATCCATGTCCAGTGAGCGGCCCTCATTTAGCTGCAAAGGGACAAGAACAAAACGGGATCTCGTGGCTACCAGAGATCTCGTGGCCACGCTGCCACCAAGAGCGTCTTCGGCTGCCAACACGCAAGGGCGTCGGCCATTTCTCCACGACTCACTCTCGTTTCTCCCAACTTATCTGAACGCACACCATATTTACCACGGCTGACGTTCCGTTTTACTCCTGATTGTCCTTCCCATACAGTTTCAAGGTCACTGCAAGCGTCCCTACATGGGCTGGTCCCTCTCTATCTCCACGTGGGATTCCAAGCTCCCCTGGACAGGGCCCTGCTCACATGGCTGTGGCTGCCAGACGCCTCACATGCGTCAGGACACAGAGGTCGTCGTAAATACGTCAGAAGTATTATTTTGGCAACGAGGCCCAAGGAAAGTCACTGTGGCAGGCTGGAGTCCACATGCCAAGCACGGAGTGACTCTGTCTCCTACGGGGCCACAGCAGGTACAGCCACAGTGTGGCTGACACACGGCTCGACGGACCGGAGTGGAGCCTGGAAGTGTGAGTGGTTTCCAGCGGCTACGTCGGGAGGGCAGGGTTGTCTGCAGGAAGCCCTGCTCACCTTGCCGTCGGAGAGGCACTCAGTGGCTGGCTTGTGGGGGGTCAGCGCCAGGCCTGCCTCCTGCAGCAGCTCCTGGTCCTCCTCTGGGATCCCCGTGTCCTGCTGGATCCTGGCCTTCAAGCTCTGCAGGGTCTCCTCCTCTGTCACGGGGTAGGTGTGAATGGTGCCTGTGACCATGTTCAAGATATGAACCAGCTGCAACACAACCCGGACGTTACTGGAGAAGGCCGGCCCCTACGGAGATGCCCTTCTGTGGCCAGAAGCCCCTGCTGCCCCGACAGCTCCAGGAAGGGGGTTGGGTGCCCTGTGGCACACCCGGCCTTTAGGGCTCATGCTTGTTCATAGCTATGACCGTATAGCCAATGTCAACCAGCGTAGCTGTCTTGTCCTCTTACTCGGGTACAGAGAGTCACGGCAGCCCCAGTCTCCCCACTGGTCAGCAGCCCGGCCTGGTCTGTCCTGTGCATTTCCGTCTGGTGAGAACTGCTGGGTCCCATGGGGGATCCTCGCTGTGCCTTGGCTCTATGCTCACCTTGAGGTTCAAGATGTCATCCAGGGCCTTGAAGCAGCCGTTGGGGCCATATGTGGGGTCTGTGCCCCGCTGCCGGGGGTGCCACATGAGCATCAGCTGTAGCCACTTCTCCAGCCGCTGTGCCAGCACGCTGAGAAGAGAGCAGGGTGTGGGCAGCGGCTCGGCCAAGCCCTGGGCTGCCCTTAGGCACCAAAGTGCAGGCGCAAACCTTGCATGGGTTTCGCTGCTACGCACATGAGGGTGGTGGGGCGGCCAGTGCGTGGCCACTGAAAATGGAAACAGATTCATCCGAGAGAAAAAGCATCACCAGTTTCATTATTCATCGGTCCTCTCCCTTGACCTGCTATGACAGCCCCCAAGCCAGGACCCTCCCGACCCAGGGGCCAGCGATCGTCTCCGACTAGCTGCATGAGGATGACCCGCGCAGCCTCACAGTGGACCACAGGCTCGCCCGGCCCCCCCGAGAGCCTCCACACGATCCAGAACTCGAGCTGCAGGCCTGCTACCCCGCCCCTATGGAAGTGTTCGGTGGTTTTGTGAAGTTCAAACTCCCTCCATGGCACCCTGGCCTGCCTCCTGGACACACTCGAGTCCTGCCTGAGGCCGACAGAGGTACTCACTGCCTCCCCTGCTCGCTCTGACCCCGCACCCCAGCCCTCCTTCCTCTTCATCTGTCTTCTTCCTGCACAGCTTTCTCAACCCTTCCGAGAAGTTCCAGCTCATCCAGAGGTACCCCACACAGCTCCAGTCCATATGATGTCCCTCTGCCCCTCCTCGGAGCACTCGGGCCTGTCGCCCGTGCAGTTCCATCCCGCAGTTCGCTGGGGTGGGCTGCCTGATTCTGATACTGCTACCTAGCTACACCCCGGCCCTAGGGCAGAGCGTAACGCCAGGCAAACCTCAAGGACTCATGCTGACGACACTGCACTAGGCGAGAGGAGGGGTGCACACGGAAACGAGCTCTAATTCCCTGCCCTGAAAAGCTGACCCTGTGCCATCCTCGTCCCGCTGGCGGCTATTAAGGGTGACGAGAGGTACAGACAACTTTCTCGGGAATTTAGAAAAGGGCAACTCCTACCCTCCTGCGAGGGTATAAGGGATGGGAGTCTACCCTAAGTTTGAGGTCAAGATGGGTTATGTCAAGTTCTTAGTCACAGGACGATACTGCAAAGTTAACAGATCCCATCTCCGACTTGAACAGAGAACTTCAAAAAGTTTATGGAAAATGTATATCTGGAAAAAATAATGCATGGATTTCAAAATGTTCATACCAAAATAAACTTGTATTTTAATCCCGTTTTTCTACACGCTCTCTGAAGTGCCCCTGTAATTCTAAACGGGAAGAAAAGTAGGAGCAGGGTCTGAGGCTGCGTCATACCTGTTCAGGTTATGGGGGTAGGGCAGGGAGCTGGAAAACTTCACGGCACCGTTCAGGTCTTCGCTGACGACAATGTCCATCTCGCTCTTCTGCCGGACTTTCGAGTGCCTGCAAGGGGGCAGCTGGTCACGCCGGTCCCCTCACCACGCAATGGTGAGGGCCACTCGATAGCTGCAGCGTCACCTGGCAACTGCACAGGAGACAGACCTCAGAGCGACCTCTGACCTTCTGGAATAAAATTCAGTATTCTGACCGGAGTTTCCGTGAGCGCTGAAGCACAGGGCTGGCCCCATTGGTGAGGAGCAAGCACTGTGCATAGGGGGCCGGGCCCCACATGGCCAACTGCAGCTCAAATTCCAGCCCTGGTGGTTTGAAAAACACGCCAGGCGTGTGTATGTGTGTGCATGCCCCAAATCCCGGGAGGGTGGGAAAGTGGAGGAGGAGAGATGGTGGAATGATCAAACTGAGGGAACAAGCCTTATGGCAATAAAAACAAAACAAAACAAAAACGTTGTGAATAGGAAATTATAAAAAGGATATACCAAATGCTTCTTGCGTTTTTAAACAAAGTAGCTTTATAATAGAAGTACAACACCCAAACTAAATTTGTCCCGAGATTATCATATAGCTCCCATCTGAGATGAGATAGTGAAATTGTGTTCAAGGCGCCAAAGGTCTTACAAAGCAGACGAGGCCCCCCTGTGGTGGCTCAGACAGGAGGGTGCCATCATGCAATGGCTGAGGTCACATGGGAGGCCTGGTTCAGTTCCTGGCCCAGCCTAAATGGGCCAGGGGAGGTGGCACACCCCTGTTGTCCCAGCTAACAGGCTGGCTGTGGCAGGAGTGTGATGAGACGTGGTGTCAAAATACCTCCCCCTACTACTTGCTCTCTCCCATAAAAAATAAAAGAAAAAGGAAAAAGGAAACAGAAAAGGGAGGCTGTTCTTACAAACTAGTTCACAAAACAGCTTCTTTCGGGTTTCAGAGTCTACTAGAAGGGGGCCAGCTGCCTTCTGGCACTGGTGAGGGAAGTTCTAAGAAGTTTCTGCAGACGGCAGACTTCCTATGAACGGCTGAGCCATTCGGATTCATGATCAGATACCACTTGTTTGGGGCCAGCAGGTGGCGTAGTGCGGAAGGGGCTGGACTCCCACAGGGCCAGCTGAGGTAGAAGTCCCAGATCCAATGCCTGGAAACTTACAGGGGGGCACGTGTGTGCTCTGTCTCTTTCTGGTGAGCACATGCGCCCCATGGCAAAAAACTTAAAAAAGAAAAAAGTTGTTTTGTTGTTGTTGTTGTTGCTTTTTTTTTGAGAGAGATTTTCGCTATAGGGCGCGTGCACTCGCCAGACAGACAGACAGACAGAGAGACAGAAAGAGAGAAATCACCCCCCAGGGGGGATGGTCACGCCGCAATCCCTTCTCCTCCATTCTCCTCTCGGGATCTTGGGCATGCACGCACACGCGCCCGGCGTGAGTTTTAAGCCACCAGGTCCGGGACGCGAACCGCGGTCGACTACGTGGGAGTCCAGCGACATAGCCATTACGGTAACTGCTGGTTCCCGAAAAAAGTTTTATTTACAGTTGAGATATAATAATTGCACATAGTAATGATGAGTTTTTTGTTTGTTTGTTTGTTTTTTTGGAGAGGTTTTTGCTATAGGGCGCGTGCACTCACCAGAAAGACAGAGAGACAGAGACAGAAAGCAAGAAATCACCCCCCAGGGAGGATGGCCACACCACAATCCCTTCTCCTCCATTCTCTTCTCGGGATCTTGGGCACGCACACGTGTCTGGCATGAGTTTAAGCCACCGGGTCCAGGACTTGAACCACAGTCGACTACATAGGAGTTCAGCGACATAGCCATTACGCAAACTACTGGTCCCTAAGGATGAGTTTTTATACAGACTACAAACAATGCTTTTTTTAAAAAAGGTTTTTGCCATAGGGTATGTGCACTTGCAGGAGAGAGACAGTGAGAAGAAAAGTGAGAAATCACCCCCTGGAGGAGATGACCATGTCATGATCCCTTTTCCTCCATTCTCCTCCTGGGATTTGGAGCATGCACATACATGTTCCCAGTGTGATTTTCAAGCCACCAGGTGTGGGACTCAAACCGTGGTCAGCCATGTAGGAGTCGAGCGCCTAAACCACCACGCCGCTAGCTGGCCCTGAACAATGCATTATTTTCATAATGATAAAAGAAAAAGTTAGAGGGCCAGTGGTGGCATAGTGGTTAAGGCGGGTAGATCTCACATGGCTGACTGAGTAGTTTGAGTCCCAGACCTGGTAGCATGTTGAAAAACACGCCAGGTGCATGAGTGCGTGCTGAAAACCCAGAGAGGAGAATGGAGGAAAAGAGTTTGTGGCGAGGCCATCCCCCCGGGAGCGATTTCTTTCTTTCTTTTCATTTTTTTCAAACTGTCCTGTCATGCCTTTAAGAGTTGGCCCTATTCTTAGTACAACCCTCCTAAACTAAGAGGGGTACTGCTGTGCGCCCCGACAGGCTACCCTGCTAAGACAGCAGAGTGGAGCGGAAAAAGCACCGGCCAGGATGAGCCAGGGGCGATCTCACTCTCCCCTCGCTCTCTCTCGCTCTCCTTCTTGTTCTTCGTCCTACAGCAACACTAAAAATAAATAAAAGTTAGAGAATACAAAGTAATTTTTATAACCTCAACTGTATCTTTGACTTTTTATTTAAATTAGCAAACCTTTTGTGGTAACTTATTAGACTCGCACTGTAAGCTGCTTTCTTTTGCTTTTAAATGAACATCTACATTCAGGGGTAGTCAAATTTGTCAACCAATTTTCACGTAAATAGTAAGTATCTCCTCACGTTCGCCATGTGTACAGACCCTGTCTTCTGTTTACCGATGCCGGCATGTTCAGGGTCAGTGCCACGTTTACACAACTCTGCACACACTTGCCCGGGTGGAACCAGAGCAACGGCCTCCTGTGGAGTTACACTGAAGGAGGTAACGTAACGCCTGCTCTATTTCCCTGGGTTTGGGAGCTGCGCTGCCCACATCCTGGGTCCTGGCAGGCCTTCTTCTCAAAGGAGACACGACAGACCTCAGGCACATGCTGGGGGTCAGGTGGACAGAGCTGAAGGAAGAGGGCCCCCACTCACCATTGCACAGGCTGCCAGTTGGGGAGGAAAGGCCGGAAGCCCGTGATGCACTCGAAGGCCAAGGTGCCGAAGCTCCAGTAGTCCACAGTCACCGTGTACTTCTGCTGCTCCAGCAGTTCTGGGGCCTGACGACACGGGGGCACATGCCTGAGCAGCTGGTGCAGGAAGGGCCAGACCCCGGGGCTGACCTACAGGCGCGCTGGCGCACATTTCAGGCCTGCACCCCTTTTCATCTTCTCCCCTCTGAAAACAGGGTGACGGCACTGCAGCACTCACTGACAGCCTCGGTGCAGGGCCCAGGCAAGGCGCTGAGCAGGGACGGGGAGATGGCCTGCACGCAGCCAAGGGGGACAGTGGCAGGCTGTACACACGGTGCCCAAGGCCCACGCTGAAGGCCGGCCAGACCTCCTGAGCCAGCTACCCGGGCTGCATGACGGACGGATATTTGCAACGGGGCAGGAGAAAGCCCAAGGCATGCCTGCTGCCGAGACAGAGAGCTGGGTGGCCGAGGCAGGCGGCCTGGAACAGGAGGGGCTGCAACTGGGCCCAGGAGGAGGCTCCTCGCAGACGCGGGTGACAGACGACAACGCTGAAATCAGCGTTCCTCAGAGCAGGACAGACTGATGGGGCTCACCCCTGCTTGGCAGGACAGGCAGGAAACAGAGTTGCCCTCAAAACACTCAACATCGTGTTCTTTAATTTGAGAAACATCAAATGTTAAGCTCATCTAGCTCTGTGGCTTTCAATCTTCTTTTGGCTTTCTTTTCTTTTCTTTTCTTTTCTTTTCAGAGTCCGCATGTGTGCTTTTTGAACAGACAGAGACAGAAAGCAAAAAATGGCCCCCTTCCCCAGGGACACAGCCACAGTGCAATCCCTCCTCTATTTTCCGCTCAGGATTTGGGCATGCATGCGCAAACACCCGACGTGAGTTTCAAGTTTCCGGGTTTGGGACTCAAACCCTGGTCAGCTATGTGGGAGTCCAGCGACGAAAACGTTACATGATCTGCTGGTCCCCTTTTGGTTTTATCTTCTAAACTGCAGACTCCTTTTTCGATCCATTCACAGTGGTTGCTGTCATCAGCAGTACTCAGTTACCAAGTCCTGCCAACCACCTCCAGGACGGGATCATCCGGCACCCTTACTGCTGCACCCAGCTTGGGGAGGGCCCGTGACCACAGCCCCTCCCTCACGCCTTTCCGCTCCGTACTCCTGTTCCCAGTCCACCCTTCGCCCTGCAGCCAGCGTAGACCTTTCACATGGTAAACATGTTTGCATGCTTCTTCTCCAACTCAGAGCCCTCAATGTCTTTCTGGAGGTTTCAGTGTAAAGTCTAAGATCTCTGGGGCCAGCAGGTGGCATTGTGGTTAAGGTTCTGGACTCCCACATGGCAGACCATGTTTCGAGTCCTCGACCTGCAGGCTTAAAAATCACGGGAACCAGCAGTTAGCGTAATGGCTATGTCTCTGGACTCCCACGTAGTCGACCATGGTTCACGTCCCGGACCTGGTGGCTTAAAACTCACGCCGGGCATGTGTGCGTGCATGCCCAAGATCCCGAGAGGAGAATGGAGGAGAAGGGATTGCGGCGTGACCATCCCCCCTGGGGGGTGATTTCTTGCTTTCTGTCTCTATGTCTCCCTCTGTCTGTCTGGCGAGCACACACGCCCTATAGTGAAAACCTCTCCCCCCCCCAAAAAAAAAGAAAAAAAAGAAAAAAAAATGAGAAAATCACACCGGGCGAGCATGTGTGTGCACCTGCCCAGAATACTGGAAAGAGAAGGGATTGAGACATGGTCATCGTCTCTGTGGGGTGATTTTTCACGTTCCCTTTCACTGTTTCTGTCTGTCTCTCTCCAGTGACTGCACATGCCTTAGGGCAAAAACCTTTTTAAAAAAAAAAAAGTCTAAGATCTCCAGCTCAGCCCAAAGGCCTGAATCCTGTTTCCTACCTCTCTCTCAGCCTTACCCAAGGCACTTCCTTTCTTCTTCTCCAGAGTCCAGCCATTCTTTCAAGTCTTCCCATGTACTATCCCTTAGTCCAGAACCTCCCCTCCTCTCCCTGCCCTCGCTGGCCCCTTGCATATGCTCCCCCTTCGGAGGCCAGGCCCAGGAGAGGCTGGGTCCTCCTGAGAGGTCCTGATCACACCTGTGCTTTTCCCGGCTCTGACTCCTCACTCGCCTGGACAGGTGTCATGGCCGTGCCTTTCTCGCTCCTCTCTACACTCCTAAGGGCCAGGGGAATGCCTGCCTCTTTTGCCAGCTCTAAGCACACACCTGCAGGCCACCTACACTCGGCTAACATGCAAACAGAAGCCCAATATTCAGTTCCATGGTACAGGAAAGGGTGGGGCGTTCAGAGTTCTGCTTCTCCCTCCACTGCCCCTCCTAGGGGGCATCTGTTGCCAAAAATGCTGATTTGAGTGGAGTCGGGGTCTGATCTCATTCCAGCACATCTGGAAAATATCCAGAGTGTTGCCCAGACCTCGATGCTGGAGGCCGCGAACGGAGGAGCCCCATGAATACAGCCAGCAGGAAGAACCTGCCAACGAGCACGGAGCACACTCCTTACCAGGTACTGCAGGGTCCCCACGAAGGAAGTGCAAAGGCTGCCCTGGTCCAGCTCCTTGGCATATCCGAGGTCAATAATCTTGTGAATTAACTGAAAAAAGAAAAAGAAGAGAACTCTGAGGATCATGAGACGACATGCCCTTCCTCAAGGATTCTGACGCTTGCCTCTAGAGCAGAGAGATTACCGAAGTCCTGGGTAGCAGCAGCTATAACTTCCTGCGTGCCACCAAATGCAGCTGTTCTCCCCTACTCAAGGTTTCAGCCACCCGTGGACAATCGCGGTCAGGAAATGTTCAACAGAAAATCCCAGAAATGAACAACAGATACGTTTCGATTGTGCATTGTTCTGAGCAGCGTGATGAAATCTCGCACCATCCCACTCCATCCTGCCTGGCACACGAACATGCCTTTATGTAGTGTGTCTGTGCTAGCATGCATCTACACTGCCTGCCTGTGCCATTCTGCAGCCCTCTCAGTTACCAAATGGGCTCTGCAGCACTGGGGTGCTTGTGTGCAAGTAACCCTCATCCTACTTAGGAAGAGCCCTGAAGCCAAGAGCAGGAGTAACAGTATGTGGCTACTGTATCAATATAACCACTCGATTTTACTCCTAGGTACTGTGGCTTAGCTCTCGTACATTAAGCTGTATCACATGTGTGAATGTTGGGAAAAACAGCACACTAGGGCTCCTCAGTACTATCCGCGGTTTCAGGCATGCCCTGGGGGCCTTGGACAGGTGCATAGGAGAAAAACGCCTGCAGAACGCTAGGTTAGGGCAGAAGAAAACACATGCTGTAAACACACTAGGCAAACGTCCCTTGCTCTGCCACCGATCATCAGAGGGAGCGATCATCATCAGTGATCACCTTCAGATCTCAGCCTCAGACCCGTCAGTGAGAAGGCATGTGAGCGCCAAGATGGCCCAGCCTCTCGGGCCAGGACGCTGGTGGGTGCTCTACCACATCCGCAGGCATCAAGGGACCAAGGAGGAGAGTGACCCCACTCCACTCGGCTAGGCCTGGCTCATCAATGTGGGGAGACCACAGGGAGGGGACGAGCACCCCCAACTGAGGGGCACTGAAGAGGGTCACAAAGAGCCCGGGGGAACTGCCAGCTGGGTGGCAGGTGCCAGTTCCAAACATCTCTGCCCTGCGACACACAGAACTGATTTATAGCTGGTTTCCATTCTAGCATCAAAACTTGAGGCTCTTAAACTAAAAACAAGAAGTCTGTTTCCAAGCAGCCGGTCCCAACGGAGGGGTGGAGGTGGGAAGACAAGCATTGTTTTCCTTATCGGATCCCTAACAATGTGACCCGCTCAAAGCTACCTCGATCTGCAGGAACATTTTGCAGAATCGGTTTCAAATCAAAGCAGCACTCTCAGGGATCAAAGCCTCGCTCAGGAAATGCGAAGACAAACCAAGCATGCAGAGGGTGTTCCTCTGGCCTGCAGATGCAGCCCCCTAGGCACCCACAAACCTCCTAACTGCCAGCAGGTCACTCACTCTTTGCTCTCCTTGCTGTAGGACGATGTTTTCTGGTTTGAGGTCCCGATGGATGATTCTGTTCTCGTGAAGGTATCTAAGTGCAGAGGCTGAGGGTGGAAAGGGCAGTGGGTATTTATTAGGCCTAAGAAACGCTTCTTGCTTCAGAATCTCCTGTCCCCTCAAAGACAAACACTGTGCGCCCTGACACGGCCTCTGCTCTCGGTACGCAGACGCGTGACGGAGGGAAGGGCCTGGCAGACAGACGCTCCTCGGGTGGGGTGAAGGCGGTCCGGCTATGCGAGGACAGATCGTAAGAACCGGCTCACTCATGCCAAGGGTTCCTAGCCTACACCCAGGAGGGCACCAGCTGACCTGGAGCAGCGGTTCTCGAACTGTACAACCCAGGCCAGCAGCACCTGAAGTGATGTCTCACTTTCTGTCTGTCTCTGTCTCTCCGGCAAGTGCACATGCCCTCTCTAAAAGAAATGAAAAAGCAATAATGAAAGGCCTTTTTCACCTCTTCGATCAGCAAGAATTTTAGATGAGCTTGCCAGGAGTACAGGTTTTTTTGTTTTGTTTTGTTTTGAAATAATTGCCAGAGGTTGCAGGTGCTCACCTGACAAAGGGGAGAGGGAGAAAGCACCCCAGTGTAGAGTGGTTATGCCACGATCACTTTCCTCCATTCTCCATCCTGTCAGGATTTGGGGCACACACACTGTGTTTTTCAAACTGCGGGGGCCATGTGAGAGCCAGCTCCCTTCACCACCAGGCCATGGGGCCAGCCCAGAAATGCAAGACTCTCAGGCCTCCTTCTAGACCAACTGAATGGGAAACCCTGGGGGACCCCACGATCCATGGTAACAAGCTCTCCAGGTGCAGATGCTCATGAAGTCTGAGAAGGGGGAATGCACTGGCCGAGGGGCCCCCACACCTCAGTTCTACAGGACAGCGAGGGAGAAGGGCCTGCGGGAAGAGAGCGCCCAGGTCCTACGGCCCCGAGTCAATCCGGCCACAGGGGCTTCCAGGAAGTGGAGAAGGGCGAGGAGAACGGGGGCCCCTCACACCCCGGACCCTGTTCTTGCAGACTCACTACCGCTCAGTTCTCTGGTGGGTTCTGTGGGGACGCGAATGCAGGGACATCCCCCCCCCCAGTGGAAGATCAGGATCGAGTTGGGAAGGACGCTGCATAGCACAGGCTGTGAAGTCGCTCAGCACCTGCAGTCTCTGCTTGAACAGATGGGACAGTGTGGCACGGAGCGACAGGGACTGTCTGCGGTCAGACTGGAGGGGGAGATGTCTACCCGTGAGAGAGGCTTTGTCACTTTCTTAGGAGCCCTAGCTAACTGTGCTACGAAAGGGGAAAAATGAGCCACCAGCACACCGCAGGCAATACTGGGTCGCTGCAAACGCATGCGAGTCCCGGGCCAGAACTATCACAGCTCCCGCTGGGAAGGCCCCAGGTGTGCACCCTGATGTCTCCCTGGGCGTGTGCACATGTGCTCATGGTCTGGGCTGGCTGAGGATGGGGGTGGGTCATGGTGTGACCCTGTTAGGGATGCCTGTGCCCCCCACCCCCATCGTCTCTTCCTTCATCTCTGTTTCTATCATAGAAAGGAGAAGAGAGAAAAAAACTAGAATAAGTATTGAAAAAAGATAAAATTGGAACCAGCAGGTGGCATGATGGCTAGGTTGTTAGACTCCCACCTAGTTGACCATGGTTCAAGTCCCGGCTCTTTCAGACAGCATTGATCTTGCCATCCTCCTGCCTCCCCAGTCTCAGGGATTACAGGTGCACACCTGCCAACTCAGTCTTAAGCTTGGCCCAGGACTCGAACTTGGGCCTGCCACGTGGTCCAGTCTGTGGGGCAGTGTCTCCCTACCACAGCCGGGTCAACCAGACTTTAGTCTTCATTTTTGGGCAGTCTTTTATTTTTTTAAAAATTGTATTCAACTTTATTTATTTATTCAAATTTGACCAGAGAGGGGCAGAGAGAGAGAGAGCGAGCAAGAGAGAGAAAGAAAGTGAGAAAGCAAACCACCAGGTCCAGGACTCGAACCAGTCAGCCACGTGGGAGTCCAGGGCCCTTAATCACCACTCCACCTGCCGGCCCCATGAGACTCTGTCACTTAGTACAGTGTCAGATCAGCGTCTGACAGGAATTGTTACTGATTTTCTTGAACTAGGTGGGTCCCACGTGACTGATACAGACAAGACCTCTCAGACGGCTCCCCTTACAGAATACACCATCGAGAAGTCCAGTACGGTCTGACTGCTGCATTTTATAAAGCAACCTGAGTTATAAAATGAGCCAAATCAGGGGCCAGAGGTAGCATGATGGTTAATGTGCTGGACTCCCACTTGGTTAACTGCGATTCGAGTCTCAGGCCTGGTGGCTTGAGAATCATGCCAGGTACATGCATGCCCAGACTTCCAAAAGGAGAATGGAGGAGAATGGATTGTGGCGTGGCCTTCCCTCTTTGGAGGGTGATTTCTCACTTTCCCTTTCTCTGCTCTGTCTCACGCATGCACCCTGTAGCAAAAAGCTATTTAAAAAAAAATAATCAAATTGTCTCGAGCTGAGAAGGTAACTTGGTTTAAACTGGGTAGAAAATGAGATGAGATTTAGAAGAATTTGACATCTGGAAGTTTTTTTTCCAAAATCAAGGGCCAGCTGTGTGGCCTGGTGGTTGAGGAGGCTGGATCCTACATGGCCTACTGCATGGTTCAAATCCTGGTTCAAGCAGCTTTAAAAACACACCAGATACATGTGTGTGTGTGACACAGCAACTGGTGGAGAAATGGAGAAGAGATTTTGCCATAACCATGCCCCTTAGACGGTGCTTTTTCCCTCCCCTCCTCAGGGTATACGCCCTCTGGCCAAAAAAAAAAAGAGAAAAAAAAAATCCCTGGCAATAGTAAGAATACATGTTCATAAAAACTGAAAACCACAGCACAAACGTCAATCAGCTCATTTCTCATGTTTCCATTACAGAAGAGAAGCACCACCTGAGGACTCTCAATTAGACCACACAGTGGCCAGGACATGTGTCACGGAAGGCCCAAGGGAAGGACCTGCCATGCAGCACAACATCCCTTCCCGTCACCTGGTCACGAACCCTCGTTCCCGTAGCTAAGCGGCTGACAGACACGTAACTGAAGGATGTGACATAAGCTCTTTCTGGTGAAGAGAATCCCGAAGCGTGGCCTCTGTCCACTTTTCAGACTAGAAACCATAAACTGGGGAACAGACAGGGGCAGGCAGACTCCCATGTAGGGGAGCAGGCTTATCAGGGCGCAGCCCGGGAACCCCTCCTTTCCACCCATGAGCTGTGAGGATGACTCAGCTCCCTGGGAAGCCCTGAGCCTCAAACACAGTCCACAGAGAGGAGACGGACAGAAATGGACCAAAAGCCAAGACAGAGAGAAGAGAAAGATGATCGGTGTCGACTGGTCCCCGCCACCAAGCAGAAGGGCAGCATGCGTAAAATCTGGGCGCGTGCCTACTAAGTGCCAGCCACTTGGGTGTCACCAGACTTTCCAAACAAAACGGACGGGAGAGCCAACTGGCCAGATGGGGAAGATTTAGTCTGGCTAACGGTTTCTTGGCTACAACCTCTTCAGTGACTAATCAGCGAGGCGACGAGGCTCAGGGCCAAGCGCGAAGAGGGAAGTCCACGCTGGAGCAATAACAGACCGCCTTTTTCACCTCTTCAACCGGCAAGAGTTTTCGATGAAAGATGAGGGACACTCCTCCATCTGGCTGAAAGGAGTAAAAATCCGTGTGTGGTTTTTGGAAAGCGATATGCAATAGCCCTTGAATTTTAAAATACACGTATGATGGGTCTTCTAAAAGTTCATGAGGGAAACAGCCAGCCCTGTGCTATGATGGTTAAGCACTGTACAAATGAAGCCACACTGCACGTGGCTCACCAGGTTCGAGTCCGGCCCTCATGGACTCATTCTCTTATCGGCTCAATGAGTACCTACAGTGTCACCGCTGCGGGTTCCGGCAGAGATCACGTAACAATGGCAATACCAAGTCCCAAATGGGTAGAAGAGGCTGAGGACAGGAGGATCCCTGGGAGAGTCACAGGAAGGAGAGGTCAGAGCAGACCCAGGGAAGGGCGGGTCTACAGCTGGGTCCCCAAAGACGGGAAGGCTTGGGGTCATGGGTTCAGGTTACACAGAAACAGCATGCTAAGTAGCAGTGCAGAGGCCAGCAGGAGGACCGAGGGCCAAGGGCCAGCAGGAGGACCGCTACGCAGAAACAGCATGCTAAGTAGCAGTGCCGAGGCCAGCAGGAGGACCGAGGGCCAAGCGCCGGCGGGAAGACGAGGGCCAAGTACCAGCAGGAGGATCGAGGGCCAAGCGCTGGCGGGAGGATGAGGGCCAAGGGCCCACCAGGCGTGTGTGTGCGCATGCCCTAGATCCCCAGAGGAGAATGGAGGAGAAGGGATTGCGGAGGACTAAGAGCAAAGAGCCTGCAGGTCGGCTGCGGGGAAGCTGGCAGCTTGGCCTCGATCCGACAGCGGGTTACGGGGAGAGCGTCCTTTCAGAGGCAGGGAGACGCACTAGCAGGAGGGCAGTGTTACAGAGATCTGCTGTGACACGGGATTAGTGGAGGCAGGGAACAGACTGGGAGAATGGACAAGATGATGTGAGGGAAGGCTGGGAGGACTCAGGGACTTGTTAGATGGGGGGCCTGGAGCAGACTCTAAGAGACAAGATGCAAAACTGACTCTCGTCTGGGTAACCGGCAGAGTCGGGTCTGTGGGCCAGCGGCTGTGTGGTAGAGTCCTGGACCTGGCAGCTAGAGCCCACCCAGCTGACTGTGTGGCCGGAGTCCTGGACCTGGCAGCTTGAGACATACCCGGCGTGTGTGCCTGCATGCTCAAAATCCTGACAGGAGGGAGGAATGGAGAAGGGACTGCGGCACGACTGTGCTCCACGGCGGGGGCTTTCTCGTGCTTTCTTTTTCCCCCTTTTCTTGCTCTCTCCCCCTCCTTTCAGGGACTGCATGCGTCTGCTGGCAAAATTACAAATTAAAAAAGAATTATGAAAAAAAAGAAAAGAAAGACGGGTCTAGCGACAAGAGAGAGGATGCTG